AACTACAAAATAAAATGAAGGGGGTAAAAATGATTGGTTAACCTTAGTCTATTGATTTTGTTGAGTCTTAAGTTACAAATAAAGAAAAATAAAGCACATTACCAACACACCAAGACACAAACTATGTCAATTAGTATCATTTTTTCCTACTTATCTGTTTTCATACAATATAAATACATATATTTAGTAAAATTTTCCGACGAAGCGGTGTCGCGTGACACCGCATCGGTAGGCGTAAATCCGCCCCTGATAACGTGGACGGTGTCACTATCAATGTAAGATAATTAACATGATATAACAAGTTATTTATCATTTTTACTAGATTATCAATTAAAGTTGATCATCATAAAAACTTACTAGCTAGTAAAATACCTTATAAGTAACATGATTAAGTAATTAGTTCTCTTTTATATATTCATCGCATGCATAGAACTTAAACTCAATATAGCATTATTTTCCGAAATACCTTTGAAGGTTTAAAGGCAAGATTTGTTTCTAGTCTATATTCGTGCATAATCCAGTTGGTTTTTTCACCCTTAGAAGCTCTTCCTCTATAGAAAACCAAAGTTTTTTTCATGCCAATAACCATTCCTCCCTGAAAAATCTCCTTGTCTTTGCCTGTTGTTTTCCAGTAACCTGCTTCTGTTGCTCGGTTTGTGCGAAGTCCAGTTGGATATTTCCGATCTCTAAGGTTAAAAAAGTACCATTCTTCTTCTCCCATTGAGGCTTTCGCTGTAGTGTACAATGCGAGTTTATACTTCGTTAAATGTCTGCAGACAGCTGCTATAGACCAGTATTTTAAAAGGCGAGGGCCTGAGGCGGAGCATTTTACTTAATACAGGGCAAGGCGAAAGCCTCGAGACATGGGGCGTAAGTCCTATAGATCTTTAATTTTTTAATTTTATGAATTAATAATATAGCATTATAACAAAAAAAATACAAAACATCCAGCGTGTTTTACAAGTATATATAATGCAATACTGTTAAAGTTATTATGAAATATAAATTTATTACAACGTCTTAAATTTCAAACGATTAGAAATCATAATTTCTTACAAAATGTTATCAAACTGCATATTTTACCTCCTTAAAAGTAAATATTCAATAAATTTTATCTACATTATAATTTAAATTATTACTCCTTCATGAGAAATATAAATTTATTTTCAAAGAGTAAAATAATAAATATATGACAATTTAGTGAGACATAGAACTAATTAAGACATGAAGATCTATTAAGTAAAGATATAAATTTTGGTTATCCATTTCAGAAGAGATATTCTACCTCACGATATTCTCAGTTAGTTCATATGCAATACTATCGTTTGTTATTTGAGTTATTCACATTTTTCATATTCCTATAGATAAAAAGAGCTTTAATCATTTATTTGTTGAAGAATTTTGAGGGCCAACAGTGATAAATAGTGAATTTAACACAAGGTTTACATAGGAATTGTGGGCAAGTCCCGAGCATTGAGTGTTAGGCATATTTAAGGCGCATAATCGAGCGCTTCGTGGCGTAAGTCTCACAAAACTAAGCCCCACACATATCCCTTCCCGAGACGATTCCTAGAAAAGTCTTTTAAAACACTGCTATAGACAAACTTGAAACTTCAATAAAATATTAGGGCTTGTGCCCCATAATCCAATGTCTAAAAAAGATAGTCCAAATGGAAGAAGAAATTTCCAAGATCTACGAAGTTCTCAATTTCTAGTTTCTCAGGCCTTTTTTTCAGCTTGGGGTATTCATATTTAAATTTAATGAGTTTATATTCTATGTCCAAAGTTATGGGTTCAATTGGAACTGTATACATGACTCTCTTGTCATTAGGGAATTAGAAAAATCCAAATGTAAATACGTCTTCCACACCATTTGCTATGTTGAGTACTTTTTGTCTATGTTATTCGAATTCTTCAAAAATATGGTAGGTGTGCACATTGGAACTTCTAAGATTATTGTATATTTTGAGAATCCACACGAATCAATATAGTGTATTGATCTAAATTTGGACGGCTTGATAACTGCAGATAAACAGGGTCGAGGACGAGGTCGACTACGGCAAAATAGCGAGGAGTCGTCTTCAGAAGGGTTATCGCTAAGGACGAGCAAATGGAGTAAAGAAGTAATGGTAGGATAGATTTAGAAATAGCTATATGGGAAGTAATGAATATTCCTTATGTTGTACTTTTTAGAGTTTCATGGGGATATCCCTTATAAATAGGAAGAGATAAAGAACAAAAGGAGGATCTTCACTTATTGATAAGAGCACTTTGTAAAGAGTTGACTTGAAAGAATATACAAATATTGTCTTGTTCATTGATTCTATAGCTTTACTCACGTCATTCATTCCTTTTTCACAAGATCCACATCTACATTTATCTTAGTTCCACGATGCTGTCAGGAAGGAGAGTCACCCAAACCGTCTAATATTTGGGTGATAAATTCCTCTTTATTACATTTATTACCATTGTCTACATTTATTGCATGTTCTTATTACAATATTCATTGATAAAAGTTGAACACGTGTCTGATCTTGTTACTCTTAAACGTGGTCTGACTCCACGGATCTGTCCAAGTTTTTTTTTATCTAGATCTGATTAAATTTAACTAGGATTCATTCTCTATCTCATCATTAATTAGTTTAACAAAGAGTTTAACACTTTTTGATGAAATAATTTAGCGCCATCAGTGGGAGCTTTCTAGTTAAAATTTTAGTTCTTTCTAGAAAAAAAAAACAAACAAAAACAACATCATCCATCTTTTCCTAGTATGCACAAACTAATAATGGCAGGAAAAGGAGATGAAAGACTGAAAGCAGTAGTAGACGTCACTACCAACCTCTTGACCACCATCAACGAGGTTGATAGAGAAGGCGAATAGAACACGACGTCGAGCGCTACGCCCAGGCGGAGCGACTCACCTCCCCCTCATGGAAGTGTAATAGCTTCACGTGAAATGGGAGCCTCCACATCCACAGCTGAGGAAGCACCACCAGCAATCAAAAAACTACTGGAGACGTGGAGCACTCTAAGCGACATACTCGACAAACTCGCTCGATGGGCAAATAGAAACGTCATACAAATGGATATCACAGCAATCGCCGACGAGCAACCCGCTCCCCCAACAGGTGACACTCACACAGCTGTTGACGCAGGTAATGATGCAGCTGTAGCCATTCTGAAGAAAATGGAAGAAATGGAAACGAGAACAAAGAACTCCGCGACCAGATGAGGGAACATCAAGAAAGGGTCGATAAGATACCGGGCTCCCCAAAACTGCTACAAAAACGGGATGTCGGTCGATTCGTCGAACAACCATACAGCGAGGAGGCAGCCCCGCATGCCATACCCAAAACCTTCAAGATGCCACCATATTTAAAGATATATGACGGCACGACAGATCCCGAAGATCACATCATTCATTACGTTACAGTAGTAAAGGGCAACGACCTCTCAAAGGAGCAAGTACCATCAGTATTACTAAAGAAGTTCGGCGAGACCTTAACCGGGGGAGCCCTAACCTAGTATTCACAGTTACCAACACGATCTATAACTACGTTCGAGGAAATGGCCGACAAGTTCGTCACCGCCCACGCCGGGGCTAAGAAGGCGGAAGCCAGGGTAAATGATATATTCGTCGTTAGGCAATCGCCTGGCGAGGGACTCATGGACTTTTTGGCTCGGTTTAGCAGAGTAAGAATGAGCTTACCAAATGTATCGGAAGGGATGACGGTGGCAGCTTTCCAAAATAGGTTAAAGAGGAATGGGTCAAGAGCGACAAGAAAACTATTAAGCAGACTCATGAAATACCCTCCCACCACTTGGGAAGAAATTCACAACGCCTACTGCGCTGAGGTGAGAGCACACAAGGACGACCTTAACGGTCCAATCCAACGGTTAACGTCAGTCCAAACAGAGCCAAGGAAAGACCATCGTAATGACGGTCGAAGAGACCAGTCAGGTCCACGCCTCAATCGAGACAGGCATCAGCCTTATGTTAGGACAGCCATCCCAAAAGTCCGACCCAAGTACCTGAAAGTCGAACGTCCTCTGTGAATTTCATCAGGAGCGAGGTCACAAAACTAAGGACTGCATAGCCCTGCGGCAAGAAGTAGTGAACATGCTCCACCAAGGGCACCTAAGGGAGCTGATGAGCGACCGAGGAAGAGCCAATTTCGGCTGCGGACGAGAACAACACCAAGGCCCTCCAAAGCCTCCATCCCCTGCCCGTACCATTCAAATGATCATCGGTGGTGGGGACAAAGCAGCAATCAACCACGTAAAGTTTACCACCACACATAAACTGAAGCGATCAATCACCCACGAACAGTATGATGTCCTCGGAGAAAGTATCATCTTTGATAAGTCAGATACCAACGGTTTGAATTTTCCTCACTTTGATGCTCTTGTCATTACTTTACGTATTTCAAATACTAATGTAAAATGAATAATGGTAGACGACGGAAGCGGCGCATGCATTATTCACCCTCGAGTTCTCGCACAAATGCGACTCGAGGTCAAGATAGTACCACGCTGCATAACACTAACAGGTTTTAACAATGCAGTCGAGCGAACCTCGGGAGAAATAACGCTGCCCGTTCTGGCCGGAGGCATCACCCTAGAAACAACGTTCCATGTCATGAACCATGACATATATTACAACGCCATCATAGGACGAGCATGGATACACGCGACGAGGGCCATCCCGTCCATCTTGTATCAAGTAATCAAGTTTCTTATTCCGTGGGGGATATTTAGCATCGAGGAGAACAACGCACAGCCCAAGAATGCTATCGCATCGCCCAAGATTGTACATACACTCAACAGCTAAAAGGAACGGACTTAGAAGCACAACAATTATCAAAGTAGGGGTCTGAACTCAACGAACAAAAAGACGTTATGAAGGACCCCGATGTCGTGGAAGCCGCAGGGTCAATGGTAGAAGATCTTGATCCCGTCTAATTAGACAGCAGTGACAATAGCAAAAAGTCTTACATAGGCCATAAACTCTCCAAGCCAGGTAAATTTCAGTAAGTTTTTAAGTAACAACGACGATCTGTTTGCTTTTTCCCATGCAGATATGCCAGGCATCCCGAAAGACGTTGCCACACACAGGTTGAACGTCGATCCCCTCTACCCTCCAGTACGACGAATAAGAAGAAAATTCAATGCCGCAATCAACGAAGCCGTCAGCGATGAAGTGGATAAACTACTCGCTAACGGCTCCATCCGGGAATCATAATACCCTCAATGGGTTGCCAACGTAGTCATGGTGAAAAAGAAAAATGGGAAGTGGCGGATGTGTGGATTTCACGGACCTAAACAAGGCATGCCCGAAAGACTCCTTTCCGTTGCCTCATATCGATTAGCTTATTGACGCATCAGCAGGGCACGAGTTGTTGAGCTTCTTGGACGCCTACTCAGGTTACAACCAAATCCTCATGGAGGAGGAGGACCAGGAAAAGACTACTTTCATCACCCATCAAGGAACGTACTATTACAGAGTCATGACATTTGGTCACTAAGATGTTCAAGGACAACTCGGCAAAACAATGGAAGTTTACATAGAAGACATGTTGGTCAAATCAAAAAGGAAGGAAGACCACATCGACCACCTGAAAGAGGCCTTCGATATACTAAGGCAATACGGCATGAAGCTGAACCCCGAAAAACGTGCCTTTGGCGTAACTTCAGGCAAGTTCCTTGGCTTCTTGGTATCAC